TAACATCCCTCATGTCTTAACAGGGCAAGCACAAAGTTCAAAAGAAGAAGAAGAAGAAGAAGAAGTCAAGAAACAATAAGAATGACAACATAAAATGCATTTATTGGCCTGTTAAAGACATCTAGCTGTTTTGGGGAGCCTGTATCATCATTCGAACATGCACAGTGGGTTACTATCCTGTGACCAGCATTGAAACATTCTAAGCCAGTTATCAGTATAATGACGCTCTGGTCATCCTGTTATAAGCATTCCAACATTCAGATAGGTGGTAAATATAGTTCAACAAATAAATAACACTATCAATCCCATAACATGTTAGAGAATCCTGTAACATGCGAAAACTTTAAACGAGTCAAAATCATTATTAAAGGCAACAAAAACATCTAAACATTGATAAAAAGAAGTGAAAGCAGACAAAGTATTGTGAGGGTCACTCAATAATTCATTGAACATAGGAAGACGTCTAATAATTCACTTATAATTAAGTTAAACAACGCATCAATTTCACATCATGATTCACAAAGAAAATATTGACTTGCCCAACTATGGGCAATCGGGAAAATATGGGTGAGTCAAGGAAAACGATGAGATTTAACAGCTAAAGAAATCCTAATAATCTCAAAAAAGATATCCAACGACATGCCATCTGTTAAAAATCGTTCTTTTCTTCCTGCTGCTCCTGAAATTCAGAGATTTACAACGCCATGCCATCCAAGAAATTCACAAATATGAATAATAGTTACCGCGCGAGTTTCATATAGTCTAAATTTATCCATAACGCCATCTGGAGGTGAAGACTGTTCCGGCTGCAGCCCATTGAGAAAATGGGGTTGCGGCGGTGAAGCGTTCCCTGACGCAGCCATTGGCAGTTGATCAGATCCTCGATAATAAAATCAATGAATCCCGAGCCAGCCGCCTTGCCCGGGAATCAATTACTCATGCATTCAAAACTTCAAATGCTCAATCCACCCACCAGTGCATACGAGCGAAGGCACGCGTCATACCCGTAGACTCTTTCAGCATATAGCATTTCCGCTGTCTTCTCAAATCAAACCGTCATTGACCCACTTTGAACCCTAATTCCTGTGCCATCGAGCATATAGAAAGGAATCGAAAATTTTGGGAAACACCTCCTGATCTCTGGTAAATCAAATATGCAACGCCAAATCTAGAATCGAATTATGCGGACTTGCGTAATATAGATACCAAAGACAACAAATGAAGGCAAGCTGTGGACAGGAAAGATGGAAAGAGAACAAAAAATGAGGCAAGTTTTGGAGAAGAAAACAAAAAGAGCTGATATTCAGAGACACAGAGCTGGAGCAATTTTTTCCTTGACCATGATTCTGATTCTGATCATTATTATCATTAATAATGAGGAGTGAATTAATAGGGAGTGACATACTCCGTAGTCCGTATGATTATTATTTCACAATATCCGTACTTTTAATTAAAAAGTATAACTAATTTTAAAAAATGGGGAAAAAATATAAACTAATTTTAATTAAAAGAGTATTTATTTGAAACTCTTCAAAATTCTTCAAATGATAACCAGAATATCACGTTCATATTATCATACTCAGTATATGAATGTAGTGATTTTTTCAACATATTATCACTTTCCTTTTTAGATCTTAGTATGACTTATATCATCACTAATTAGGTTATGTCATAGAGGTATACATATAACATCGTTTGGAAAATAGTGTTCCAACAAAAAATAACATTTTGATTATTCTTAGTGTTTTTTCGGTAAGTGGAAATTTTATTTGGTAAAAAATCATTTCAGCAAATAACCGTGTTTTGCGTTAGTGTTCAGAAACAGGGGATCATCTATTAATCGTTATAGCTAAACAACTAAATTAACAAATACGTAGTACAAAGTATCTTTTTGTTATCCATCAAATTATTCCGCTAGTAAAATTCGATAATTTACTACATAGTACAATTTGTTAATATAACCTCATGTTCGAAAAAAGACCATTATTAAAAGTTAGTTCAGAAAATTTACTACATAGTACATATTATGTTTCTAAAATCACACATATTTAGAAAAATGTTCTTCTAAAAACAATTAATTTTAGGGACTATATAATGTGTATATATTACCTCCGTCCTGGTGGACTTTGACAAGTGCAAAGTAGGTGACAAATAAAAATAGTAAAAAAATATGTGGTTGAGATTTGTGCAGAGGAGAGAGAAATGTTCAAAACCACAAATTAATTATTTTAATAGAAAAATAACACAGTTTTTTGAGACAACCAAAAAATAAAGTTGGCAAAGTCGATGGGACGAGGAGTAATATATAACTAGGTAACAATTATTATTACACAAAAGTTTGGATAATGGGAAAAGCCAGTTGTCAAAAACTCATAGGGAATCATGTGTTCACTGTTCATGACTTCATTGAATGACCTCAGGGGTACATGAATGCGTAAAAGAATAAATCATTGCCACAAATAACAGACTAAATATTCCTCATTTGACTTGTCTACAAGTTTTTATAATTTTCTTTCAAAAATTAGTATTAATAAATAGAAAAAGAAGAGAGAGAAATAAATACAACACATATAAAGTGTGGTTAAAATATTAACTGAATGAAAAAATACTTATAATATATTTTCTTTGTTCCATTTTATCTGTCTTATTTTCATTTTTGAATTGTCCCAAAATTAGTGTAACATTTCATTTTTTGGAAAGAAATAAGTGATCCACACCCATTCACTTTATTAAACTCAAATCCCACCCACAATTTTTACTTTTTCAATTTCTTTATTAAAATTTAAAAATATGTCAAAACAAAAACGAGACACGTAAAATGGGACGAAGATAGTATTTTGTTAATAAAATAAAGAAAAAACATATGAAAATAGTTAAAGTGATCCTCTATGATAACTTCGGTCAATTCAGCTAGAAAAGTAACTTAAATCTTACTTAGAGTCCGTTTGGTAACATTGAACGGCTAAATCTGCTGAAATTGATGGAGTTTTGGGTGAAACGACTGAATCTACTGAATTATGGAAAAAATATACTCCGTATTTAAAGTATATATGGAACATAATTTCATCGATAGCAATTTTAGTAAAAACACACTACGTGTTTGGTGAAAAATGAACTAATAAGACTGAAACAGAAAAACATGATTACTAAATGGGTTCTTGTTTTGATTTTTACATACTTCAATGTTAAATCAGGTTGATAAAAATTAATTGATAAAACTGATAAACTAAAAACGTCCAACCAAACGGCTCTATTTATTACTCACTATTTCAATTATATCAAGGTGTTTGGTGTACGGCATTGCTTGATTCCTTGTTAATTCAGGATTTAATTAGTCGGATGGGCTGTACACTTCTGCATTATCTTCTGCATTATTAGGTGTTAACGAGTATAATATACGGAGTAGTATACATGTTGTCCTTTTAGTTAATTCTAATTCTGTATTTCGGTTTATCATCCTTTTTGGCTAACATTTTCACCAAAAGTAGAGATCTTTGTCCCACCTAACAGCCATAATGTTGTGTAGACCTACGTCATTCTTGGTCCAAAATAGGGATGGACCAAACCGGGCCAGGCCGGTTAGGCCCGGACCCGGTATCAACCCAAGCTGGTTCCGAGCCTAAGGATTTGCAAAAAAGCCCATCCGGGTCCGGCCCGGAACCGGACCAACCCGGGTCCATCCCTAGTCCAAAAGGTGGAATCTCCCACCCCAGGAGCCCCCACCCCGACCCGATAGGATGGTGGGAAGGTTAATCACGGTGACTCGGTCAACAAAGCAGCGGTAAGCCTTATACACATGCGCACCAGATATTCAGTCTTATTTCAAGTTATGTAACCTCCACACGGCCACTGCGGGTTTCGAACCTTGGTTACTTGATCCAATTTTCTCACCACTCGACCGACTAAGCTACCCGTGCAGGTAGACCTACGCCATTCTTAATGTATTCACAATTTTGAAATTTTAATAGCAAAACTTATGGAGTATTAGTTCATATTAATATTCATTTTCCACTTTTAATTAATTCTTAGTATACATGTTGTCCTTTTAGTTAATTCTAATTCTGTATTTCAGTTTATCATCCTTTTTGGCTAACATTTTCACCAAAAGTAGAGATGTTTGTCCCACATAACAGCCATATTGTTGTGTAGACCTACGTCATTCTTGGTCCAAAATAGGGATGGACTAAACCGGGCCGGCCCGCTACTGTGCGGGCCCGGACCGGACCGGGATCGGTTGGCCGGTTCCGGGCTTTTAGCCCGTTTGGGCGGGTCGGGCGGGCCAAGCTCGGGCCCAGTATTGGTCGAACCGGCCCGGGTCATTTTTTTTGTTTTTTGTTTTTTCAATTTTTTTTCTTTTCCTAGGGTAGGGCTGGATGTTTTGGGGAGGTTTGGGGGGTGGGGGTGAGGGGGGTCAGGGATAACAAGAAAGCAAAAAAAAATAGACATTGAACCGGGCCCGGCTCGACCCGGTTAGGCCCGGACCCGATATCAACCCGGACAGGTTCCGAGCCCAAGGATTTGCAAAAAAAGCCCGCCCGGGCCCTGCCCGGAACCGGAACCGGACCGGCCCAGGTCCATCCCTAGTCCAAAAGGTGGAATCTCCCACCCCAGGAGCCCCCACCCGACCCGATAGGATGGTGGGGAGGTTAATCACGGTGACTCGGTCAACAAAGCGGCGGTATGCCTTATACACGTGCGCACCAGAGATTCAGCCTTATTTCAAGTTATGTAACCTCCACACGGCCGCTACGGGTTTCGAACCTTGGTCACTTGATCCAATTTTTCCACCACTCGACCGACTAAGCTACCCGTGCGGATAGACCTACGCCATTCTTAATGTATTCACAATTTAGAAATTTTATTAGCAAAACTTATGGAGTATTAGTTCATATTAATATTCATTTTCCACTTTTAAATGATCACTTTAAAAAATGACGGAGTAGTTTTTCTGTATTGTCTTTTAAGATATTCTCACATGATATCATCAACCGTATCGTTATTTAAAGTTAAATATTGATGCTGTTATTGATGTGCCCAACTGCAGAAAAGGATTAGGCCGGGACGGTTGAACATAGAATTGGACTGGAACCTACCACTATTTTTGTGCTGATAGTCCTCCCAAATTGAACCCGGTCTGATTCTGTTAATCTGTTTCCTCCCAAATGGCTACGCCGCTACGGAGCGGTCCAAAACGGCAAAACCGGACAAAATATGCCAGTTTACGATTCTGGTTTGACCCTTCATGACACAGAACCAGACCGGGGACACCCTTACACTCACTATAATGTGCTTGGAAATGGTAAAATCAACTTCCATTGAAAAAAATTGTTTCATGTGGCAAGAATGCAAGATGCAAGAACCCCTCTAAAGAAAGAAATAAAGGAAATCGGTCAGTCCTTCACATCGGTTACACCTTCTGCAGATATTTGAAACCTTGCTTCTGCTTCAGCTAAACACGGAGAGCTAACTACTTTACAAATGCGCTCGTCTCCCCTTCCCTTCCGAAGAGCCAGCCTATCAGTCAATACATTGTTCAGGATCAACCATCCATAGCACATACGCTAAAAAACGGACATGTCACATTAGTTAACATGGAGTAATATTTAGGTGTTATTTAATTTACCTTGTTGTAGAAGCATGTGCCATAATGTTGCCACCAATAGGTTTGACCTGAGGTCCGGCAAACATGGCAGAACCGTCAACTTGGGAAACCACTTGGTTAGTAATCACAACTGCAACCCCAAACTGCACATTTCCAAAGCAGCATAAGTGATAGTCATGCAGGAATCTTAAACTTCAGGGCCTGTTTGGCGGGATAAAAAATGGCTAAAAGTGTGGTTGAAATTGATGACTTTGCTAAATTTTCTTCAAGAAGTCTTCAGAATGAGGGCTAAAGTAGGCTGAAGATGACTTTGCCAAGTAGATTACAATTAGGAATATGCCACGATTAAGACAAAAAGTCAAAAGCATAACATTTTTTCAAAGATGACTATCATTGTTTTTTCCTTGATATAAGACTTATTAACTCCTACTAGAAAAATGATCAGCTACTTTTATTCTTTTTAGTAAGAAACAGGACAGTCTCTTTTGTGCATATGACCCGTGTTTTTTATCAGAAAATTGCAGTAATATATTACAAAAAATAATGTGTAATAGAAGAGTTGAAGGGTAATTGATCTCTGTTTCAACCATTTCAGCCAAATAAGTAACTTCTGCACCAGTTCTATATATAGTAAACCATATCAGCTCATGCAACAATAGAAAATGTAATGCTTGGTAGAAAATATGGTGGTCAAGCTTGTGGCACAAAAACTGAAGCCACCTAACAGGCACTTAAGACACATACTGAAGCTACCTCATCTGCTAATTTCTGAAGGCTTCTTAAGAACCTCGCCAGATGCATTTGTCTGGATGCCAACTCTCCCCGCCCAGAAAAATCAGTCCTATAAAGTGCTGTAGAGCTATCCACAATCATAAGAGCAAACCTGTGTCCCAATTAGAATGTGATAAAAATAGTTATTTTCTTTTCTGGACACACACACACATGTATATACACACATTTACCTTGGAATTGTAAGGAAAACAAAATATGGGTAATTTCCTTTAAGAAAATCACATTTAGATTTCTCAATCTTTATATAAATAGAAACAAATTTAAGAGCTTGAACAAATACAAAGTATGTAAAGATAATTTAGTGAATCTAAAAAATCATTTATTTGATTAAAAAATCCTTCAGAATTTCAACTTTATTACTTCCCTAGTACTTGTAGGTTTCAAAAATACCCTAGAGATCTAAAATATCGGCTCTTCAACAAAGAAAAAGGTTGTTTTGTGACATGGCGCAAAAAGAATCTGGGAAACAGTTGTCTTATCCAAATAGTCGATTACTATCATGAAAATATATATACATACCAACAGGGCCTCTAAATAAAATAGTGTACCTGGTCTCAACCATCATTGAGGCTGCTTCAATCAAAAGCCTAGACTGATGGTCAGTATTATATGCTCTAGCATATGCAACATTCTCAAGAACATCAGCTCCATTCAATCCAAACCTGTAGCATGCAAATATAATTATTTGACACTGTTTTTTTTTACATTTCAGATTTGCAATAGTATTGCAATTACATTAGTAGTAACTAAGATGCAGTGACAGATGTAATGAAAGTATAGAGAGAGGTTTGGGAGAGATCTAAAAATATTAATACGAACTCCAAAGCTTGGGAGAAGAATGGAGAAAGAAATCGAACAAGGGAACCCAAATTAGAGGTAACAAATCCTGATTTTCGAACTAGTGTGATCTTTTTATTGCAAGTTTTCATATGATTTTTTTAAATCAGATGTCTGATTTGAACGAGATGTTCTGCCCGATTAAATGCGTCTTTGTGGTAGATGATAGATGACCTGTCCGCAATTTGCAAGAGTCTTTGTGGTCTGAAAGTTCCCTCAGCATCAATGTACATGGCCTTACCCTCACCGCCACCTTGGTCTAATGGAAGCTGAAAAATAGAAAGCATAACTAAGCATTTTTGCATTAATTCAGTGTTATATAATTCTAAACTATTATTTGGCATTTGAGAATATAAACTTCATCACACACACACACCCGCCAGAACTAAAGATTGTGAAACAAATAAACAATGGTCTCTTAATTTTGATAGAGACTAATCAAGATTCTAATAATTTCAACTTAATAAGGATATTAAGCAGGTGGTCAATCTTACTTGGCAAGCAACACATAAAGTATGACAAAGCTGAGTCTTCCCAGAACGGAACTCGCCATAAATTTCAGTGATGGATCCTGTTTCGATCCCCCCTGCCAGTCCACATATGAAGTCCATAAATTTCAGTAATGTATTATAACAAACATTTACAATCTTTAAATTCTAATAGGCTGGACACAAATTAAACCCTAACCTTCCAAGACTTTGTCAAGTTCTTTTGATCCAGATGTTATTTGAATGATTTCAAGCCTCTGTGCATGGAGTTGGCTTGCACTAGTGAACCCCAAAGGCACCAATTTTGAAGCTGTTGGTATTACCGTATTAGTATAGATTAGTTCACTAGAACAGGGTGTGGTCATAACAAGATTTGGAAAGAAGACTAACCTGCTTCTATAATTTTGTCAACTTTAGCTTCACTGATTCCTTTGATTTGCAAAATATCCTTTCTAGGAGAATACACAACCGATTCCACGGTAAATATACCCGCATCCTTAAGTTTTTTTATGTCGGTGGCTGATATTCCAGATTCCTACAATACAAAAACATTATTGGAGCCCTAAATTATTTAATTCAAACGCACTTCCGGAAGATCGAAAATAACCAAATCCTACACCGAATGAAAACCCTGAAATTACCCATCGTGAAGGAGATATTTGGTACCAAGAAACACACCCAAAATTAATGGATAAAAGGTACATTATCCCCAAATGAAATAAATCCCGGCGATAACAGAATCTTGAAAATCCAAAAAGGATTTTTATATTTTATTTTTGAACAAAAGATTCAGATTGGTGCGAAAACCTGAAGTTGCTCGACCGGGAAAGGGCCATGTTGAATGTCATCTACATCGTCTTGTTGTTCTTGCACATTTTTTGGCTGGTTCCTGAGCTGCTGCTCCATTCTCGCTCGAAACTAGCGCAGACTGTTTTCGCCTTCGCGCGGAGAGATAAGAAATGTGATTCTGGAATGTAGTGACTGGTGACTAGTAGAGATTTTAAAATTATACTACGTATATCCGGGCGCCAAATACTAGATCGCAGATGAATGCGTAGTAGACAAGCTTCGGAAGCAATTCGAGTACAGGAAGTGTTTGTTTCTTTGAAAGAAAATCGTACCGAGTAAATTTTACTTCTCATCCATACAATTTCACCTTTTTCTTACTTGGATTCATATTCAATTGAATAGATCGACTCGCATAAAGAGTACATTATATTGCATTTGATATTTTTAAGTACATAAACTCGGGTTTTTAGTGTTATTTAAGTACATTATATTATAGATTAACACGTTAATTTATCTCAGTTGGCTAACAGAATGTTAAGAGCATCTCCAATAAGGATATCAATTGCACCCCTAAAAAATGGACGTGTCATCCATTTAAATAGCCTGTGCAGCTTAAGTGGATACATAGCCATTTAGAATAAAGTTTTCGCTCCAACCCAATTGTGAATCTAAATAATTGGTCTTACATGTATATAGGGCTGTCATTTTGAACCGAAAAACTGAAAACCGAACCGAAAATAACCGAACCGCATTGAAAAAAAAACGAATCGGACCGAACCGATAATTTTTGGGACCCGAAAATCGGGACAAAAAAACGGTTCAAAATCGAATTGTACTCTCAAAATTTCGGTTTGGACCGAACCAAACCGATTTTTTTATTAATAATAATACGAAGCAATTGTTTTTATCATAGTTAATTTCATTTACTAAATATACAATACCGTCAGGAGAGGATCATGAACGTATCAAATGACTTGGTTCGCCAGTCGCGTAGTGTGTTTGCCATCTTGTTGGGCATGGGTTCGAATCCCGTTTCATACTTCTTAGGTTGAATTTATGCTTTAAGCTTTTTTTCTCTTCTATGGGTTTTTCATCCCACACCGGAAACAAAAGGAGTTTACTCCTCAAATGCTTCTACTCCCTCCGTCCCTTATAAATTTGCCAACTTTCCTTTTTTGGTTGTCCCAAAAACTTTGTCACTTTCCCTTTTAATCAATCAATTTGTGATTCCTGTTATTTCTCTCTCCTCTGCACAAATCTTTACCACACATTTTTTACTTTATTATTCTACGTGTCAGTCAAACATGGCAATCCTTTTAGGGACGGAGGGAGTATATAATAAGGGATGGGGAGCTCAAACTTGTAGTTGTGTCTGAATGGGTCATGTATTCTGGTCCTACACTATTAAAGTAGTCTTTAATGTACTCAAAAATCTAATAGTCACATTTTGGGCTTATGGAATTGATTTCTAGTTCAAGTTTAGTTTTTTTTTATTGATATTGATAGAGTATATAGACTCGGACCCCCTGGTCTCATGACTATTGGACCCGGACAGCGGCCCACGCACACTCAGCTGATAGCATTTTCATTATTGTACATTATTATTATTCAGGTGTTCTAGATTAGCCTTTTATATTATCAGTCCGTTTATGTAACCGGGTCTGTCAGGGCCAAATTAGAGGTCCACACCCGGATATTCTTCTATATATACTCCCTTAGGGAGTTCTTGTAAACCTAATTTTCACAACACAAACAATACCACTATTCATTCATCTTCTCCACACACTTTCATAGCTCAAATCTCTCCTAATTATATATGGTTGGATTCCCATAATCCATCAAATGGTGCTTTCATTGAGAGTTTTGAGCAAAATCAAGTGAGATTCCTCTCCCCAACATACAAAAAATTCATTCCAATAAAAAAATCAAGAAACAGTTCTGGGATTATGAGCAAAAAAAGGGGGTCTGCATCTTTGGATCTGGAACCGCCGTGTGCCGCTCTTCCGGAATTTCTGGTCTAAAAAAATCGGAAGAAAAGAACTGGAATTTCTGGTCTGAAAATTTTTAGATCTGAGCGTGCGTGAACTGTAGCTGCCCGCGTACGCTGTTGGTTGAAGCTCCAGATCTTCCGCCACAGATGCAGATCTCTAGTTGCTGCTCCGGATTATAGTCGTCGCACGTAGCTGCGGAGGTCCATGCCGAACTCGAAGCTAGGACTTAGCTGACCGGAGGGAGCAACCAAATCCACCCCAGTTTGGCGACGCAAGGCTCGCTCCTCCATCTCTGGCGCGGAAACACCTCTCGTCGGCCGCAGCTCGTTACTCCGCCTTCAGTCGCGGCACTGCTGCTAGTCACCGGCGGTCAGTCGAAGCTCGCTCCACTATTTCGCTAGTCTCTCTTCCACCTCCATCGCAGTGTCCTCGTTGCGAATCCTTTCTCTCCGGAAACGATGGTCGAACACCCACCCCGTGAAGAATAGGGCTGAGGGTCCTCCCCTCTCCCTCCTGTCGCAGAAACTGTCGAAGGGCTTGTTTAAGCAGAATATAATTATTCTAATAACAATCTAATTGTGAGATAGGGAATCGTACAAGATACTATTCAAAGAAGTTATAATCAACGGATGAATCAATATTGATGAATCTCAAAACGAATACTAGAATGAATATGTTCTGTAAGCAAGGAATTTCAGTTGGTCCCTTTATCTTCATTGCCAGTCTATTTAAAATAAAATTCTAATTCTATATTCTCCACGTGGGTTTAACCGCTCGGCGAAATGGTAACTTCTCCTACTAAAGCGGAAGTCGTTCCTCTATTTTCTCCTCAAGCTCTTAGGCATCCTTATCCGTCCCGTCACCTTATTTAATCGAGCTGGACTCTTTAAAACTCCTACAGCAACGTGGGCCGATCCTCTTGACAAATCCAGGCCCAACAATTGCCCCCAAAAATCGAAGTAGTAATCGTCGCTGCTTTGATTCAACATGTCGGTTACTTCTTTGAATTTTAAACGTCTTGATGCCACCTCGAAATTGGTAAAACCGTCAGCCTTCTTTCTTATCGAGCACTTAACCTTCTGTCAGAATAATCCCTTCTCAGTCATAATCCCTCTCTTGAGAAAAAAACAACTCTCGTCTATCTCTTGCAGAAGCTCTTTGTGAGAAACCATGGAATCTCAGCGGTTTATCCCTCAACATATCTTGGATCCAAAGAATGAAAAGCAAGCCAAACTCTCTGAAAGTCATATCGATATTATCAAGAACGGTTCCGGATTTCCAGCGCATGCATCCATCCGGTTCCCGGCCACCAACGAGCGGGTTGACTGGCATTGCGATGGTTGGGTCAATTTCTTCATGTATACCTTCAAAATCGGTATGAAGTTTCCTTTTTCTTCTCTAGCTAGAGACTTCTTGGCCTTTGTCAAAGTTTCCCCTTCCCAAATAATGCCACAAGTATAGAGGGTTCTTCGTGGACTGGAAGTATTGAGTGAAAAACACAGCATCCCTTTCACCTTCGAAGATCTGGGCTTCACCTACGATCTTCGCTCTTCTGGAGCTGGACGGTTCACACTGGCTGTTAAAGATGCTCGCGAAGCGCTGATATTGAGGGCGGACAAAGCCAATGATCGCGGCTGGATGAGTCTGTTCTTCTTTGTACGGAAAGATTCCCTAGGTTCTGAGGGGGCGTTTCTTGAAGAGAGTCTGCATAAAGGTATCTTGATACTTCCTTGCTTTGTGCATGAATTTCAAATGTATTTAGTTGCTATATGACTGGGCTGTAATATGTTGAGATGCATTACTGTTTCCATCGTCTGTTCTTGTAGATAGGAGACAGTCCCATTGAGCTATGGTCTGAAATCTGAAGAAAGGACTGCTAGAATTTTATCCATAACCACCGCTGAGCGGACCTTTGGGAATCTAGTGGCTGATAACGAAGGTACGTCTCCCATATCTGACCCTTCTGGGTCCGTTGGATTAAGGCGTTCTCGCCGTAATATTCAGAATGTCCCTAACGATGTCCAAGGCTCGCGTGCGGTCTCCGTAGACGATTCAGACCATGAATCAGAAGGTTCAAGAGGTGGCGGTGAAAATGCAAGTGCCTTTGTTCCTCTCCAAATGGTGTTCCCTGTTGTTCAGGACTCTTGCCCTCTCCCAGCGAAACGTTCTGCTCAACATGCTTGTACTCGTTTCTGTTACTTCAATTATATGTCAAATGCTACTTTGTCTAGAATGTTAAAATATATACATTTTTTTTATCACAGCTGCTTCTTCATCTAGCACGCGGCTGATGCCTTCTGATTATGACCTCCTTAACATGGTTTCTAGAAAGAAGAAAGTTCCTTCCAAGCTGGCCTCTAGTTCTCCCAAAACTCTGCATTGCCCGACTATTGAAATGAAAGTTGTTCCTCCTCTTCCAGTGAATGCCGCTGCCAATTCTGACTCTGGTGTGAAGATGAATGCCTCCTTTTCTCGTGACTTCTGCTGTTTGAAGGACGCTTTTATGATGAGAAGTGAAATGCCTCAGGTTCTGCTTCCCTCCTCATCTGCTGCGTTTGTTGATATCTCTTCAGCTGGTCTAGCGTTGGCTTCATCGGCCTATGCTTTCCAGGTACCTTATCGTTTTATAAATGTTCAATATTTGTCTAAGTTTAAGCTTCCTTTTAACGAGAATCTTTTCAAGCTGGCAGAGTGTTCAAGCTAGCCTTGTTGCTGTAGAAAGATTGGTTTTACTGGAAAAGGCTGTGGATGAATTAAAAGGGAAGGAGAAAAGTTCTCAAGCTCGCGCTGACGTTGATGCTCGAACGATCCAAAGTCTTCGTGGTGACAACTCGACCTTGGTGAATCAAATTTCGACCCTGAAAACCCGCATCAGGCTATTGGAGGCGTATGGGAGGAAAAAGAAACAAGAAGTCACTGACGCAGCCTGTTTTTATGCTTGGAAGACTATTGAAGGAAAGAAATAATTCAGTTTCAGGATTCTTTAAAACACAATATTGTAGTCAGCAGTTACATATCTTTGGCATTTACTATAGTATTATTATTTACCTTATATACATGATTAAGAGATGTATAAATAGCAGCCTTGTAAATCAGTTTTAGACACACAGAAATATATTCAAAACACTTGTTCTCTTCTTTATGTTATGGTATCAGAGCCACACGAGCTCTAACCAGACATCTCCCTCTCCCTATGGAGGCAGACGACCCCCCTCAGCAAGGGGATCTCAGAAATTCCCCAAACGGGCAGCCTACCATTTCTTCTACAAATTCCTCTACTGCAGTCATCAACCCCCTCACTCCAGATGGGTTAATCATCCTCAACCCCAGCCACTTCCCAGAAAAACTTGAAGGCACGAATTACCTCATATGGCGTGACCAAGTGCTTGACCTCTTGGTTGGCTCTCATCTCGACCAATACATCAGTGATGGTGCTGTTCCGCCACCTGCCAGTGAAGCTGCAGGCCATCTCCGGTGGAATCGTCAAGACCGTCTCCTCCGGCATGCCCTTGTCTCCTCCCTGAGCTCGGCGTGCAAACCATTGGTTGGATCCGCACGTACCTCTGCTGCGGTGTGGAAGACCCTGGAGCAGCTTTACGGCACCTGTTCAGCAGCTCAAATCCGGAATATGAAGGATGTTTTCCGCCACACTCGACAGGGATCTAAGGCAGTGGGTGAGTATCTTCATCATCTCCGTACCCTCGCCGATGAATTAGCTAAGACTGACCGCCCTGTTGACGACGACGACTTCGTCCTTCAAGCCATGGAGGGCCTCCGACCTGAGTTTGAATCCTTCACAAACTCCATTCGCACGTGTGGAGATAACAGTTTCGGCAACATCTACGCCTTGCTCACCGGGTTCGAAGCTACTCTGCGGCGGAAGGAGGCTCTGGATACGACTGTTGGCGTGGTGACGGCGAATAATGTGGCGATGGGGGAGGCGAATACATTTACTACCCGCAGAACTCCAGGGCAGCCTAATACCCCTTCTTTATTGGGCCCTGGCCCATCTCATTATCAGCCCAGCCGCACAAACAACTCAGCCCGGGGTTCTACCGGGAGTCAGCCCAGAAACCAGCGGCCCAATTTTTCTCAAAATTCAAACCGACATGGCCAGAATACTTTTCGGGGTACCACCAACAATATGACAACCCGCAACATCTCCGGGAATAGTAATCCCAATTTCGGAGCAAATATTATGTGCCAAATTTGTGGGAAACCAAACCACTCCGCTCTCAATTGTTGGCATCGGTTTGAACAACAGGCTTATCCTCCTCAGGTCAACACGGCTGTTACTAATCATAATGGATGGTTACTTGATTCTGGAGCAACCAATCATGTCACCAACAACCTGAATAATCTTACCTTGGCATCCGATTGTACTGGCACTGATTCTCTCGTTATTGGTAACGGTAAAGGTCTTGCGATAGCACAAGTTGGGCATATGACCCTTCACTCTCTTTATCTACCTAATACCCTTTTCGTCCCTTCTATTCATACCAATTTAATTTCTGTCGCCAAATTATGTCGTGATAATGATGTACTAATTGAATTTCATTCTTCATTTTGTCTTGTTAAGAACCGGCGAACGGGAGCAATTTTGTTACGGGGTATGAATAAAGGAGACGTCTACAGCTTGCCAGATGTACCCCCTCCACCATCTCCGTCTACTCACATCACACAAAAATATTCCCTTAATAAATGGCACTGTTGCTTAGGACATCCAGCCCTCCCTATTACTAAAAAAAATTGTCGTCCTTAGGTATTTCCTTTTCCGATGTTACTTCGAATAACTCTTTGTGTGTCTCGTGTGCTAGTAATAAAAGCCATAAGCTGCCCTTTGCAAAATCATCTCTTTCGAGCTTTGGACCTCTAGATTTAATCTATACAGATGTCTGGGGTCCCGCTCGTGTTAATTCTATTGATGGCTTTCGTTACTATGTTATCTTTGTTGATCATTATACCAAGTATATTTGGTTTTATCCTATAACTCATAAAAGTGAAGTCACTCCACTCTTTCAAAAGTTTAAAAAGATTGTTGAAAACTTTTTTCAACGCACAATTAAAACAGTTTATTCTGATGGGGGAGGCGAATACATAACCTTAGGGAAATTCTTAAGCACATGTGGGATTTCTCATTTATTTACACCTCCTTACACTCCAGAGCACAATGGCTTTGCTGAACGTCGGCATCGTCATATTATGGAAACCGGTATCACCCTACTTCACCATGCATCTATGCCTCTTAAATATTGGTCTTATGCTTTTCTTACCGCAGTTTATCTCATTAATAGACAACCTGCTCTCTCTCTTAACTTCTGCACTCCATATGAAAAACTCTTCCAACAACCTCCTAATTACACTAGACTTGCTGTTTTTGGGTGCCAATGTTTTCCGTGGTTACGTCCCTATACCACTCATAAATTAGAACCACGCTCCAAACCATGTGTCTTCCTGGGATATTGTGACCAACAAAGTGCCTATCGTTGTCTTGATCTTACCACCAACCGTATCTTTGTCAGCAGACATGTTGTGTTTGATGAGTCAATCTTCCCTTTTTCTACATCCTCACCACCCGTCTCAAATATCACTTCTGAAGTTGATCACTGGCTTCCGCCTTCTATGTCTTATTTTCCCATTTCAGGTACTCTGGCTGCGGGGGCGTCTCCTCCTACTCATACCTCGGCTCAACAATTGACTCTTGACACGTCACCCACTACCTCTACTCAAACTGATATCCCGCTTTCTCTTCTCCCTAAACCCACACCACCACAAATTATTACTTACCAACGCCGACCCAAACCCAATTCTCCTATCCCCCCTTGTTTACCCGCCACTGATCTCACCACCTCAAATCCACCCCTCGATACTCCACCGCCCAAACGTACCCATCCGATGACCCTTCGACCCCGTAAACAAGCCAATGTTGCCACTGTTGATCCTTTACCTCACCATATAATTCCCACTTGTGCTTCTCAAGCTATGCAGGTACCACAATGGCGGAGTGCTATGACAGTCGAATTTGATGCCTTGGTTCGACAGGGCACTTGGGATCTTGTTCCAGCTCAGCCTGGTCAGAATATTGTGGGTTGTAAATGGGTATATACAGTGAAGTATAAACCGGATGGCTCCTTGGATCGCTATAAGGCTCGGCTAGTGGCTAAGGGCTTCCATCAACGCCCCGGGATTGATTATTCCGACACCTTTAGTCCGGTCATCAAACCGGTCACCATTCTTATTGTTCTGACCATTGCTCTTTCTCATGGTTGGCCAGTACATCAGTTAGATGTCAATAATGCATTCCTACATGGGACTCTTCAGGAGGAAGTTTACATGAAGCAACCTCCAGGCTTTAATGATGGTTCTGGGTTTGTTTGTCGTCTTCGGAAATCTATTTATGGCCTTAAATAGGCACCTCGTGTGTGGTATCAATCTCTTAGTGGCTTTCTTCTGTCACTTGGGTTTTCTCAATCGGTTGCTGATGCCAGTCTGTTCATCTTTTCCTCCCATTCATCTTACGTCTTTGTTTTGGTCTATGTGGATGATATTATTGTTACTGGCTCTAGACCCGACTTGATACGTCAGACTATTGACTCATTGGCCCACCGATTTTCTATCAAGGATCTTGGCTCCCTACACTATTTCTTGGCAGGGCCGGCCCTAAGGGTGTGTAGGGTGTCCAACTGCACAGGTCCCAAAAAATTGGAAGGGCCCAATTTTTTTTTGTAGTAATATACTACTACCTTCGTCCCAAATTGATTTGCAAATTTGACTTTTCTTGGTCAAACAATTTCATTTTATTTGCTTAATTAAGATGTCATTTTTTAATAATATTCTAATTTGGAATTTACAACTTTGAAGAGATATTAATATAGTTTCTGAATATATAAATTTTAATTATTAAAAATGGAATTAATTATCGATAGCGAGCATTGACTTTTTTTATTGGTTGACCAAAAAATGTTGACTTTGCAAAACAATTTGGGACGGAGGGAGTAATATTACTTAGAGGTGGAGCGTATATATAGGAACGAAGGAGTACTAAATCCTCCGTTTTCACCGGTGTGGGAATCTTAAGATTTAAAAACTAAAAAGATAAGAAGTGAGGCATGCGGGATTCGAACCAAGGTGAAAATAAAATCATGCACGCTGATCTCTAAACATCAACCCATTGGACCGAATCAACTAATTGTTTAAATAAGGACGTACAAGCTTTATATTACCTATTTGTTCTACAAAATAAATAATTAAAAATACCTCTTAATTAAAATCGGTTCGGTTCGGTTTGAACCGATTTTATAACTCAAAAAACCTTCATTAAACCGATTTATGTTCGAGTCCCGACTTTTGAGTCCCGTTTGAGCCGGTGCGGTTTCGGTTCGGTTTTTTAAATTGTGTTGCAACTTTGAAAAGAGGGCCCAATTATTTTTGTTGCACAGGACCTTCATTTCCTCAGGACCGACCCTGTTTCTTGGGCATGCAGGTTACTCCTACACAGGGCGGACTCTTCCTTGATCAACATAAATACATTATGGACTTATTAAAATGTTAAAAATGGATGAGGCGAATCCGGTAGCTACGCCGTTAGCTCCCTCTGCTTCATTAACCCTGTTTGACAGTTCAGGTACATGTGATGCCACTCTCTATCGCCAGGTCCTCGGGTCACTTCAATATTTGAATCTTACCCGTCCAGATGCTGCCTTTGCTATTAACAAATTGGCTCAATTCATGCATAAACCTACGGTCAATCATTGGCAACTTCTCAAACGTCTTTTGCGCTATCTACAAGGAACTGCTTCTCATGGCCTGTTTCTCTGTCCTAGCACATCCCCCTCTCTCCGTGCCTTTGCTGATGCTGACTGGGCAGGGAACCCTGATGACCGTTCTTCTACTAGCGCATATGCCATTTTTCTCGGGGAATCTCTTATATCTTGGAAATCAGTTAAGCAACGTACCATTGCTAAGTCTTCCACGGAAGCTGAATATCGAGCTCTTTCCACCGCTGCCTCTGAAATTATTTGGATTGAATCTCTGTTGCGTGAGTTGCGGAACCCGCTCCCTTCTCCTCCACTCCTCCTTTGTGATAACAAAGGTGCCACTACGTCTTCAGCAAATCCTGTCTTCCACACTCGCATGAAACATGTGGCAATTGACTTTCATTTTGTTCGGCAGCGGGTTCAACGTGGCCTTCTTCAAGTTCATCACATTCCATCCTCTGATCAGATAGCTGATGCCCTCACCAAACCGCTCCCCCGGCAACGCTTCATTCTTCTTAGAGACAAGCTCAGGATTCTTGGCAGTGACAGAATACCTGGCTTGCGGGGGCGTATTGAAGGAAAGAAATAATTCAGTTTCAGGATTCTTTAAAACACAATATTGTAGTCAGCAGTTACATATCTTTGGCATTTACTATAGTATTATTATTTACCTTATATACATGATTAAGAGATGTATAAATAGCAGCCTTGTAAATCAGTTTTAGACACACAGAAATATATTCAAAACACTTGTTCTCTTCTTTCTGTTAAAGACTAGGGGTGAACTAATGGCTTCATTCCTCGCAGGTGAGATGTCAAACTGGACAGCGGAATAGGATGTTGCTACCTGGTTAAAGCTTCAGGAAGAGATGGATCCCCCAATTGGAGAGGATGATTTTGACGTGGGCCAGTCTGATGACGAAGCTGAGTCCAGACGTTCCCGTGATAACTAAATACGTTCTTTCCTCTCTACTTACTTGACTTTAAACACTTTCTGCTTTCAAAACTTACTCTGTCATTACTACCCTTGCATTATGGTTTCCTGCCAGGAAATTTAATGCTTCTCTGCGGATTCATGGATCTTGTGCTTGGTGGTTTATCCAAGCTAAGTCCATATCGTTTTGTGACTCCGTCGTTATTTTTTTATCACCTGAATCCTGTTTTTGTTAATGCGTGTGTTGTCGTGTATGTGTGTTTATCGATTATGTGTGCAACATGCCATGTGTGTGCAGAGTCATATATATGTTTGTGTTTTGGCCAAAACGTATTCGGTTTCATGGAACTTCATTCATGGTTTTTTGATAATGAGCCCCATGCCCCCTGAACATTGACGTTTCGTCATGAGCAAGTTCGGATGTTCTACCTGTTCTCCTGGCGTTTGCATCATCTTGTGGTTAGACCTTAACCCGTCATAGTCCTGCGATAGTACTGCACCGTTGGGGTCGGCCGTTGGCTTGAGGCCAACGGCCCTCCGACGGTCAAGTTAGTAAACGACGAATTGGATTTACTATATTCAAGATGACGTGAAACGTAACTAATTACCTGTGACTTTGCCAATTTTGTGTGTCTTCCTGTATTAAAATCATTGTTAGGGTCGGTCGTTGGCCTTAAGCCAATGGCCCTCCGACGGTCAAGTTAGTTACTTCATTTCGCAACAGGAACAGATGTGCAGAAAAAAAACAAAAAATGAATTAAAAATGAAAAAGTTTTAAGTGTACCGCATTCCAACTTCGAGGGATTCGTTTACCATCGACTGATTCCAGACGGTATGCCCCCTGACCAACGACGTTAATGATTTTGTAGGGCCCTTCCCAATTAGGACTAAACTTTCCAGCCGCTTCGTTGCCAAATGCTCTCCTCAAGACCCAGTCTCCCCTCTTGAACACCTTCACTCGGACATTTTTGTTATAGCTTTTCGCAACCATCTGTTGATATGTCTGCAAGCGAATCTTGGCTCGTTCACGGATCACGTCAATGGTATCCAAGTCATGCGTCAACTCCACATTGTTCAATTCCTCAGTCACGAGTCCATATCTTGAAGAAGGTACTTCAATTTCAGCAGGAATTACTGCTTCGCAACCATACACAAGAGAGAATGGGGTCTGTCCAGTTGCATTGTTTGGAGTTGTCCTGTCTGCCCATAGTATTAAAGGCAATTCGTCAGCCCACCTGCCTTGTGCCTTTTCAAGCCTTTTCTTTAAGTTGGCAATGATGATTTTGTTGTTAGATTCAGCCTGTCCATTAGATTGCGGGTACCTGGGTGTCGATGTTTCCAATTTGATATTGTACCTCTCACAGAAACGCCTGGTCTTAGCACTTATGAACTGAGATCCGTTGTCACAGACGATTTCTGATGGAACGCCGAACCTGCAAAGTATGTTTCTCTTGATAAACAAAATTACCTGGTCATCTCGAATCTGACGGAATGGCTCAGCCTCCACCCACTTTGAAAAATAATCCGTCATTGCCAGCATATATACTTTTTGCCCCGGCGCCTCTGGCAATTTTCTTACGATGTCCATACCCCATTTCATAAAGGGTCATGGCGATAGGACTGGATGAAACGACTCAGAAGGTTGATGACGAATTGGTCCGTGCATCTGACAAGGCTTGCATCTTTGAGTGAAAGTGGCTGCGTCTTCTCTCATGGTTGGCCAGTAGTATCCAAATCTTTGAGCTTTGTTAGACAGACTTCGCCCGGCCGTGTGGTTGCCACATTCCCCTTCATGAAGGTTTTTCAGCACTTTGATGGCTTCTTGAGGTGTCAGACATCTTTGATACGGGCCTGCGACAGATCTTTTAAATAAAACACCGTCAATTAGTAGAAATTTGCTCACCTTAGATATGAAAGCCTTGGCCTCTTTTTTGTCTCCCGAGAGAGTATTGTGCTTTAAATATGTTATGTATTGTTGCGTCCAGTCTTCTTGTGTCGGGGTTTCAATGGTAGAGACAACCTCTGATCTGTAAATTGCTGGACTCATCAAGTGCACATAAGGGATGTTGCGATTAATTTCTTCCCCCAGACATGATCCGACCGCGG